CCCTCAGATTCTCAGGGATCAGTCATCCCCCAAAAGGATAAGTATTGTGATGTGAAGAACACAGTTGCCCTTGGGACTAGCAGGCACCCTCTGAGTGTCAGGGTAGCGGATACTCTCTGAGCGTTGGGGTAGCGGGCACCCTCTGTGTCCATCAGGGTAGTGGGTGCCCTATGTGAGTGTTGGGGTAGCGGCTGCCATCTGTGACTGTTGGGGTAGTGGGTGCCCTCTGGAGTGTCGGGGTAGCAGGCGCCCTCTGTGTCCGTCAGGGCAGTGGGTGCCCTATGTGTCGGGGTAGCAGGCGCCCTCTGTGACCATTGGGGTAATGGGTGCCCTCTGTGAGCATCAGAGTAGTGGATGCTCTCTGAGTGTCAGGGTAGCGGATACCCTCTGAGCGTTGGGGTAACGGGCACCCTCTGTGTCCGTCAGGGTAGTGGGTGCCCTATGTGAGTGTTGGGGTAGTGGGTGCCCTCTGGAGTGTTGGGGTAGCAGGCGCCCTCTGTATCCGTCAGGGTAGTGGGTGCCCTATGTGAGTGTCGGGGTAGCAGGCGCCCTCTGTGACCATCGGGGTAATGGGTGCCCTCTGGAGTGTCGGGGTAGCAGGCACCCTCTGTGACCGTCGGGGTAATGGGTGCCCTCTGTGAGCGTCAGGGTGGCAGGCGCTTTCTCAGCATTAGGGTAACGGGCACTCAGTGCTGGAAGCTGCTCCTGAGGGTCGGGGAAGCTAGCCGTGTCCTCAGCGTGCTGGAGTCATTTCCCTGCTGAGACTGTGTGGGGCTTCGGCCTGATCAATCCTTAACGGTTATCTTCCGTGCCCACTGCACCTGTCTCAGCACTTCCGGTGATCTCAGTGGACGTTTAAAGGTGGGCTTCTTTGGGGAGTCTCCTTTGACAGATTCATGTTTGGTTTAGGGACCCGAGATTCAGACTTCAGACGAGGTGAACATCATAATATAAATGACATGGGGCATTTCCGTTTGCCTGGCGGTCTACAGAGTGTGGTGGCTTCCCCGCTTGGATAAAGCGTGTTTGGGTCCGCGAGGGCTGAGGTGGGAGCATAGAGGGTGCGGCACAGAACCTGATGAGCAACAAGAGGGAAGGGGAAGCTCCCGGCTCAGGAGTAGGCAGCCTGCTTTGTGCACAGGCTGTGTTCCCACGGAGAGCAGGGAGTCGGGCTGGAGCCTTGTCACATCTTCCTCTGCAAACTGGTTAAAAGTGGAGCGTCAGGTTCTTCAGTGTACTTACCGTGAGCACCAGGGCTGACCGTGCATTCGGACAGCGCATTTAGAGTGGGCCCTGGGCTGACCGTGTTTTTGGACAGCGTACTTAGCGTGGGCCCTGGGGCTGACCGTGCTCTCGGACAGCGTACTTAGCGTGGGCCCTGGG